CATACATTTGGAACTAATTATCAGCTCCAGAAAACTAAGTGCATTACTTTTTAATTCTCCTGAACCTCAACATACTACACTATATTTTGAACTTGATCTTCCTTTCTTTTACATATTCGCCTATCTTAATTTGGATTAGAGGACACCCCTAAGGTGCTGCCTCCCCCCTTTTTCTCTACCAGTATTATCTGGAGGGAGTGCCCAGCACCAGTATATGTGATCGATATGATCGCGGTGTTTAAACTAAAAGGAGAGCCCAGTTCCAAAAGAACAAAATGTACTTTTTAAGGACTGGGGAATCTTTGCTTCAGATTTCTAATTACGAAAATGTTTATAAGAGACACAAAATGCTGCCTTTGGATGTCGAACTGGAGTTCTCCAACCACACTTGTGTTTCACGGTTAATTTGGGAAATGTAATTAAATGGATACTCTAGGCCCCCTAAACATTTACATAGTCTAAGTTGAAAAAAAAGTCTATCAAGTTCAACCTTGAAACCCATTCTTTTATGCTGTTGATGAAAAAGAAGGCAAAAAATCTAATTGTTGCCATTTCCCGATGAGGGAAAAAATCCTAATTGACTCCATAATGGCAATTAGATTTCACCTTGGATCAACAACCTGTTTAAATACAGATTAGTTATATCATTGAATATTCTGATTAAGCAAAAAAGCATACAAGCCAATTTAAAAATTATCTATAGAATCTGAAGACAACCTTATTAGGCATACTCCATACTTCCCCTTGCTGGCATTGCTTTCCCTTATGCTAAAATCAAGCAGGAAAGACCATCAGAGTAGGGTTTCCCTGATAACAGACAAGGAAAGCATTCTCATCTCTGTGCTTTCTCATGATAGGGGCCTTTTAAAGGGACACTATAGTCACCAGTGCAACTACATGTATTCCTGACCCTATAGTGTTAACACGACCATCTAGCCCCCCGGGCCCTCATGCCTCCATAAATGTAGTAAAAATCTTACTGTATTCAAGCCAGAAGCTGTAAATCTGCATGCTGTTAGACTCAGGAAAAACAAGCAGTCTGCTGACATGTGATAGCCTGATCCAATCACAGTGCTTCCCCGTAGGATTCGCTGAGACTGACAAGGAGGCAGATCAGGGGCAGAGCCAGCATGATTCAAACACAGCCCTGGCCAATTAGCATCTCCTCGTAGAGATGAATTGAATCAATGAATCTCTATGAGGAAAGTTCAGTGTCTGCATGCAGAGGGAGGAGATACTGAATCACAGGATGCTCGTGCACAGCAGATCTGAGTGGATGGAGGCATATTATGCCTCCATCAACTCAGAAGTCCCTCTGGTTCACTCAGTGACTGCAACTGGAGGTGTTCCTAGCTTTCAATGTAAACACTGTATTTTCTCAGAAAATACAGTGTTTACATGAGAAAGGCTGCAGGGAGCTATAGTTCTCACCTGAACAACATCATTAAGCTGAAGTTGTTCAGGTGACTATATTGTCCCTTAAATTTGAAAATAATTTTGAAATATTCCTTTACTGTGTTCAGTATACTGCTGGAGATTCAGCTACGCACAAGCATTGCTGGGAGTAGGATTTCCTGTCTGTGTGATAGCTATAGCAAGTATGAGTTTCTGCATCCGAAACTCAAGAATGAGTTCTTACTCGCAGAGCTGTATCTGAAACCTATGCTAGCAGCGTTTCACATCCTGTCACTGAACCACGATGTCTACAGGTGTAATAATTGCATGTGAATTTAACACCTTAAGGACACAACTTCTGGAATAAAAGGGAATTATGACTGAAATATTCCATCATGTGTCCTTAAGGGGTTAATTTACAATAAGCCATTCTCATAACCATGTATATACAGTGTTAGGACATAGATTAGAACGTTCTATCCAAAATTCCTTTACCAGGGTTATACTATATCTTACCACTAGATGTCTCTCTACTCCCAATCATCATGTATGAATGCATTATTACATTAGAATGTTGCAGTATCACTTTATCAAGAGTCAAGTCGTTCTAAAAAATATTAAACCCGAGTTATGTGAGGTTAAAGCCTAAACAGGACAAATAAACATAGGTCTAATCAAGGCAGGCAATGGTAGAAAAGCATCAAATATGCGATCCTTGTGTAATCCATCTGTTTCTCTTGTATTTGCTTTGACTAGACTACAGTAGCACAGATGAAAATTTTAATTTTGTTTAAAAATGCTTTAGACTTGTTAAAGGTAGGATCTCCAGAAAGTGTCTAATAAAAATGATATTAGAATATATTATTTTGCATCTGTATCAATAACTACTACAGCTAATCCCAAAACAATATATTTAATGAATTTTGTGCTTCAAATGTTTGAATGCCAAAAATATATTTCCTGCTATTCCACTTGTAGTGAAATGCAAGCCACGTGTAACACGAATACTAGGGATACTGAAATGTTGGATCTCCAGTGGTTGTTAAAGGGACACTAAAGTGTCAGGAATACAAACATGTAGGAACGTTCAGAGCCTCCACACTGTGCAGCACTGACCCAGGAAGCACCTCTAGCAGCCATTTGAGTGACTGCCACTAGAGATGTTCCTATGCAGTAACGTAAACAGTAACGTAAACACTGCCTTTTCTCTGAAAAGGCAGTGTTTACAGCAAAATGCCTGCTGGGAAATACTATAATCACCAGAACAACTACATTAAATGAACATTATAGGGTCAGGAACACAAACATGGCTTGCAATGAGACATTCCCAACGTGCTCTCAAATTGACCCTAAATAGGAATTGGTTTTCATTTTAACAACTTCCTATTCATGTGGATCGTTTTATATCCTGAATCAACAGGAAGACAACCTGTGACTACGTATTCACATTTTCGATAACTCCTGCAGCACTCATAAATGATTAAAGTGACTGTCCCCTCCAAGAAAAAAAAACAAAAACAAACCCATTATATAGTTATAATAAACTATTAAACAACATAGCATCCTAACTATGTAGATATTACACTATATAAAACTTTGGCCAATCTCTTCTAGGATAAACCCCTCTGTTCCTGTGTGTCCAACTTGTCTGGTTACAACTACGTGTCTGTTCGTCCACCCATTGTAAAGCGCTGCGGAATTTGGTGGCGCTATATAAATAACAAATAAAATCAATTTAGTGCCTACATTTCACTATTCTCACTTCTTTACCTCATCTCACTATTTTACCTTTAATTTTGGTCTGTGTAAATTGAATTTTTAATGTACTCAGGATGATAGAGATACTTATTGGAGGAGGGGGTTCTGGTTTTGCTCACATCCAAAATAAAAAATAATGACAGGAAAAAGAATGTGTAAAAAGCTAAATAAAATCTAAATATAAAATAGAAGCTTTGGCTAAAATAGTTGCTAAATGTAATTAAGTATTTTAGCATACACTAAGGAGAGTTTGCCTTCTACAAATATGGCTGCCATTTCTGAGGTGCCATATTAGTCCGTTAGTATATGAAAATAATCTACCTGTGTTACTGGACGAACACATTTGTAGTAATGAGCTTTCAGGAGTTCCTTTAAAAAATTTTTGTCTTAATTACTCTAAAAAAAAAAAAAAGAAAAGAAAAAACTAACACTTTTACAAATATACAATTCAGCAGCGTGATTTTGAATGTTTTCATAAATCTTAAACCGGGACACCAACGTGTCACATTACAGTGGTACAAACAGAAAAAAATACAAAATTACACCAGTTATTGCAGAATTGTGGAATGTGTCAGATATTAAGAGGTACGCTCCGAGCTCCATAAACCCTGCACTTTACTTATAACAAAGAGGTTATGGTGCTAGGATGCAATGGGTGTCAACTTTCCAGTTACTGTCAAATTGTTTTCAGTTGCTTTGACATAAACCAAGGTATTCCGTGGAACCGTGAAGATGCACTTTGATGGCTACATGCACTGTAATAATTATGGTGTCAGCATGCCTGTCCCCAGGTCATCTGTCAAATAAGTTTCAAAAAGTTTGGCTAGCTGTGGGCCCCTGCGGCCTGGCACCTCGCTGTCCAGATTGGTAAAGCAGAAGTTATTTTGTAGAAGTCTGGACAGCATTCAGTGTTTGAGTTTGTCCACTCCAAACCAATGACGGCATTCTAAATGAGGACATACGTTATATTTCTAATGTGAAATTGTAACTTCAGCATTAGATCAGGACCAGATCAAGGGGCACTCAGAGGACCCTTGTTGTATGTCAATACATTTTTAAAAAGGCTGTAACAGTTATGGTACCTTGAGGACCCCTTTAGCATTGAAACGCCTTCTGCTTATGCATTATTAAGAAGTGAATGTCCTTGTTTTCCATCAAACATATTTGCATAGCAGGAGTATTTATTCCACACTCAATACGAGCAGGACAAGGAGTTAAGCAGTGATGGATTGATAGACTTGACCACATCAAATTGCCATAACCACGTTTTTTTTTTTTTACTGCCTTCCGAACTCACACAATTATCTTATACTTACTCATGAATTCACCAATGCATGACAGTATCAACCATGCAAATGCAATTTATCTCAGATTTCAAAATTTCCTTTTACTGCGTGCATGCAGTGAATGGATATCCCCGATATTGACAAGGATAGATAGACATGGGATGGTTTGTAGGAAGTCACGAGGGATGAACAGATGAGGGAAATGACCACCCTGAAATCGTCAGACTTGCCTGAAAATTGGGCATGTGGTCTGAAAAAATGGCATCTCAGCCTGACACGCATGCCAGACTGATTTACAGAGTCTGTTACCAACCTTACTCAAAGCATACCATGTGCTGAGCATTTCTAATGACCTCTGTCCACATGCTCAGTGCCGTCAGAAGTTACTCTGCACAATGCAAGTTTATCTGTTGTGTTTGCTTTTCAGGATATTTCAAAGCCTGTGACAGCAGGACAGTACCCCGAAATGGTGACTTTAATATCTTAAACTAGCACGACATAGAAAAGGAAAACCAAAACAAAAAACATTTATGCAAAATAACTACAATTAAGAGAAAAAAATATTACACAAGAGCATGTAAAACATCAGCCATACTGTTTATTTTACCAAACTGTACAAAGCACGTCAGCACCATATTGGCATGTATCTTCTTTTGAAAAACCACTTTAGTTTAGAACATCCTCCTCAGCCTCCAGTAACAGGACATCCTCTCGGTGCAGAAACCTGAAACCACGACACAAAATTTGCATCGTGTTTCCTGTCACTGACCTCAAAATGTAGTTTATCTAATTTCACAACACAATATTTAGCCCATCACACACAGAACATTATATTTGGTGCATCTCCGGCACAGACAGGAACTGGGGACACAACAGTTTGACACATTCTCTTACATGAAATCTCTGATGGACATATTCACTTACTTTAGAAGTTGTTCATGTTTTGTGAAATTCTTAAAAAAGAAAGGTTTACACATTGGATACACATTTTAAGATAGGAAGTTCATATTAATGAGAAGTGTGTAGCAGGGTGGAAAACCCCATCTCCGTAAGTACGAAAGCAACTGAATGCATAGCCACCCCAAATGCAAAATAAGGAAAAGATAGATCTGAATAGGCCACACTGCCCAGCATCCTTGCACACTGCCCAGAAGGTAGAGACATTCAGACATGTGACCTGGTGATGGACCACAATTAAAAACATAAAAAGAAACACAAAAATGTTGACGTCTGCAAAAGGCTCTTCAAAGAGTCCCAGGTTGCTAAAGTGAAAACGCGGTTAGTTATACAGGGTTCCAAGCATTCCCCGTAGACTCTCCTACAGAGTTAAATAGTCCCTGTGTTCCATGGTGGGCAAAAGGGCGCCCTCTAGCTGCGATTCCAAAGAAGCTCACGGTTAAAACCATAGGGTTCATTTTTTTTTCCGTCGCACAACTGTCCACCCATCTACCTCCTCTTCCTCCTCTTGGTCATTCCTGGGTACCTCCGGCACAGAAACACTGGGTGCAGAAGACGAGCTGCTCGCTGTGGCCTCACAATCCATGTCCTGTATTAAGAGGTAAAAGGAAAAATTATAAGAGAGAAAATGCACACACTCGATCACAATGGGGAGACCATGCTCTGTTGGAAGTTATGAGTTGCAAATTTCTAAACTCCAGTGAGAGAAAGATCTCCACATGCTCTGTGTGTCCATACAAGTTCCACCATGAGAGAGACATCAAACACTTTAGTTGGCACAGTATACAAAAAAAAACTGGCATTTTTATTATTTTTAATTTTTTAGTTTACATTTTTTTATTGTAATATTTTTTTTTTTATTATTTCATTTTTTTTTCGTCCCCTCCTCGCTGCTTGTTGGCTGGCCAGGGAGGGGGGCTCTCATTCCCTGGTGGTCCAGTGGATGGGCTGTGTAGGAAGGGGGCTGGCAGCGAGCTGTAACTTACCTTTCCTGCAGCTCCTGTCAGCTCCCTTCTCCTGCGTTCCGGTCAGCTCCCCTGTCAGCTCCCACCGTAAGTCTCGCGGTGTGACTGCTGGAATGCAGGAGAAGGGAGCTGCAGGAAAGGTAAGTTACACCTCGCTGCTAGTCCCCAATAGGACCGCCGGGCTTGTAATGAGCCCGGCAGTCCTTGTCTGTATTATGGCAATGTAAGTTGCCATAATACAGACACTGACTCGAGTATGGGTTTTTCAGCACAAAAAATTTGCTGAAAAACCCGACTTATACTCAAGTATATACATTATATCCCTTCAAATCAATAATAATAATAAAAAATATATATGCATTATGTAGTGTGTGTGTGTGTGTATATATATACACACACACACACACACACACACACTACAGCATGGCTGTATGCTGGGCCATTGACACAGCCCACAGCACAGACTGCAACCACTAAAATATCTATAAATTTGCTAAAGAAAGGAGGTTTTTAAAGTTACTGGAAGGAGAGTTGACCATTTACACATAAATGGTGAACAGAACCACTTTGAAAAACAATTGTAGGCCCATTGCAAAATTATTCAGATGAGAGAATCTCTACAGCTCCCTTATAATTGAATTGGACTGGGCCATATATTCTGTGTACTAACACACGCCTGACACCAATACAAAGGAAGAACGCAAAATTCTTACCCTGCCTATTCAAACACTTTTTTAGAATCATCAGTGAATTAACCAAAATGAAACTAGCAAATGGAGAAGTGATTTCATTAGCTGCCAGTAAAACAATCGGCTGGCAATAAATACCTTACTGCGCTGTAACCAACAGGGGTCAAAATGTACACTCTGTTACTACTCATTGTAAATTCAGCCCTGGACCCTCCAGGCTTGCAATCAGGAGTTAATTTTACTATTGTTTAGCAGTGTAGTACTTGACATTTTGACCATGTGATTGGCAAAATTTTACTGAAGATTATTATTATTTTTTTTTAACCAAATACAGCAATGCTTTTTTAAGAATGTATTGGTTCATAACAGGATATTTAGCAAATGCCAGAGTTCTCCTTTAGTTCTAAAGTGTTGACACTCTACATAGAGGTTTACACGCACCCCATAGTAAGCACACACAACAAAAAAAGGGCTCAGTCATGAGAAATAATCTCTCCGACAAAATAGATGACCTTCGTGGTTATTGGGAATTATTATATAACTCCCAGGCCCAAAAGAAATGCTCAAAGAGTGTTTTATAAAAAGATTTACTCACCTTAATCCTGCCCCGGGTGAAGCTCCCTGTTGCACCCCCATCTGACGTCATGTGAGCCGCGCCAAGTTACAGTTAAAGGCTTTCCGTAGATTGGACCATTTTACTGGCACGAAGCACATACATGTGCTCTAAGCTGGTGACTGAAGGGAGGAAATAAAGGAGGAGGAAGGGGAAATAAAAAATACAGCAGAGGGGATAGGGAAAGGTTTACTCAGCTTCTCTCTTGCAGGTGGAGCTGTTACGTATGTCGGCAGTGTGAAGTGAGTGCTGACAACAGACGTAAAATATGCACAGAATGGACATTAGTTAGCCCCGAACAGAGCGATGGGCTGCCTAAGTCACGTGTGCTGACGGTGCAACTTACTACTGGTACACAATTGTCAATTCTAGATTTGCAGTGTTTATAGCTGCAGACTCCTACCACTATGACCACTTTAGAAAGCAGAAGTTGTCATGGTGATTGGAGTAACCTTTTAAAGATATACTGTCATGTCCCAGGATATGTAATATTATCTTTCCTTATTTCCACACTTAAATATCTATTTCGGAGGTGTGAAAAATAAAATGAAAGGGACACTATATTCACGAAAACAACTTTAGCTTAATGAAGCAGTTTTGGTGTATAGATCATGCCTCTGAAATCTTACTGCTCAATTCTCTCCCAATTAGGAGTTAAATCACTTTTTTCCATCCCAAAAAAAAATGAGTTCATTCTCAAATCAGATGTATATTACTTTAAAGGTTTTTGACTCCTGCTTTGTAAATTGAACTTTAATCACAATCAGGATGCTCCGGTAAGGTCTAGCAAGCTATTAGCAATGCTGGCGATAATACATTCTAAATTAAAAAGACAGTGCAATAAAGGAAGTGTGAACATCATAGCTCACTTTACAGGAAGTGTTTAAGGTAGGCAGTGCACATTACATGTAGGGAGGCATGACTAGCGTTGCATAAACAAAGTAATTTACCTCCTAAATAGCAGAAGATTGAGAAGGGAGACTGCACGGACATGATCTATACACCAAAACTGCTTCATTAAGCTAAAGTTGTTTTGTTGACTATAGTGTCCCTTTAAATGTAGAAATCCACATCTCTTTATCATGCAACTGGGTGCCTCTATCTTGGCTCCCTGTCAATCGTTGTTATAATCTGTCCTTAGCAACTGGCAGTCAGTACAGAGGAGGATAAATTAAACAATGTTTCTATTTTTCTTTATTTGCAATGTCTACCCTGGCTTTGTCTTGTCTAAACTGGATTATGAGATCATCTGCCAAATCATTAATATAAATTTAAAAGAAAACAGAGCTTCTCATGATAAACAAGTTTAACACAGGTCACAGGTGATTTTCCAGTGGTGTAAATTCTAAAGAAGTGAAATTTCCCCTTTAGGGTTTTTAAAAAAAATCAAGATTCCATAAAAGATTTCTAATTAACCTGGATCTCAAATTCATTTTTAGCCGGTATGTTTACCCAATCAAAGTTTGTCACAGCTCCCAAGCCTAAAATCCACTTCTTTGTGATGTCAACACATGTAAACCTCTCTCCCTACAGAGTGCCTTCTACCCTCGCCTCTTCCACCTGTTCTTCCACAGTCTGTTCTGACTCAGCTATACTACTGCACAGTTATCGTGTAAATCATACAATTTATGGAGATTCTAGGTCCAATGCTAAAAATAAGATAAAATCTAACGGCGTGACAAAGATGAATGACAAGTGTGTGATAGAAACAAATGTGTTGTTTCGGTCATGATTATATCTGCAAGAAAAAAGAAATGCTAAGTTATCTGTGTATCTACTGGTTCATAGTTTGGGCAGGGTGTGATGTCTTGTTGAGTCAGGGGTTGATTAGGCAGAGCTCAACACGTTAGCTCCCCAGTATATTAAAACGTTACAAGCCACCAACAGACTACATTTTCCGCTATTCTACTCCACTATTAGATTGTATAACCTGTACAAGACCATACAATCATAAGAGATGCGTGTTTGGAAAATCCATGGTTTCTAATGCCGAGCTAGAATACATTAGGTAGAAGACAAAGAAAATGCTTACTATACCGTAATTAATCTTTAAATCGGTGCCAGGGCCACAGGATATGGATCAATGCTGTTTTCAAACGGCACACAGATTTGTCTAACTACATCACTCAAGTCATTAATTTCATGCATCAAACTGTTGCTAGTGAGATTGGCTGAAATACTCTGCTACTTCCTTCGATTGTCGTGGAAACTGCAGTCCCTGTTTAATTCTGCTTATATATTGTTTGCTTAATTAATACGTTATCTATTTGATGTATTGAAAGAGCTGTCAGTATGTCAAAGAAGCGCAAACTCCCTCCAGTAATCTAAAAACCATGCCGAAATAAAAGATGTAATATTTAAGACTGTGAAATGGTTTATCCCTTAGAGGAAGGGTAGGCAAACTTTGACAATCCAAATGTGGACTACATCTTCCCTGTTGCTTTGCAAGCATTATGACTGGAGCATTATGGGAAATGTAGGTAGTCCACAGCATCTGGAGTGCCTAAGGTTATCTAGTTTTGGTTCAATAGGGCTGCCTCCTATCAGAACACACTAAAAATGTTTATTTCTTAAATGACAGGTTTATTCACTAAACCCCAAATCGTAGTAAACTAAAACACTACTTTTCATTCAAAGTGTGTGTTTTTTTTTGTTTTGTTTATTATTATTATTAAAGATATATTGAGGGGCCTGAATTAAATTTCCTCTACTTTTGACATAGAGGATACTGTTGTACTCATGAGACATCGCTGAACACAAATGGAGTTTTAGAGCAGTACAATGTATAATGACGTTGATATATGATCCATGAAAGAGCAGTTCTGAACACTAGCTTTGGCCAGGATTTGTGATTAAGCAGATACTTAAAAAGACCGAACATACCCCATTTTGAATAGCCTGGGTTGTCTACTTTTACAAGTGTTATGCAATGATGGTGGCAATTGTCATTCCTGGGCTGCCATAGTGTTTCAAAGGCAGCATAGGCTCAGCAAACCAATCTGGCAAATTTCAGTGTGTATAAACTGATATGGGCAATGCCCTATATTTAACTCTGTAACTTTCCAAAAACCCACAAAACCAGTACATGGGGAGGCAAGGGGGGCTATTGTTCTTGCGAGGCATCCCTGAACACAAATATGTTGTTTTATTGCAGTAAAAGCTAATGGTAATATTACATTCACAGTTAAAATACCATTGAGAACTTTGAAAATAACATTTCATTTATAACACTTTTTTTAGATTTCCTTCAGATTACATTATGTTTCATATATAAATATTTCATGTAAAATGAAAGGCCTATTTTTCCTGGACAAAATGATATATAATATAGAATAATAGTGTATTGTTGAACAAATATATAGCTCAAATTCTAGGTTTGGTTTCCCTACATTTTGCAACTAGTTGTCAATTTATTTATAATCAGTGTTTGATAAATCAAGTCCCAAGATCTGATTTCTTTATAATCATTGCCTTGTAAAACGATTTCCTTTCAAAACTTGATGAAAAGATTATTGTGTTAAACTGTTTTGAGGTGACAATTGTCCCTTAAGATCAGCCTTACCGCAGGACAGTGGGCATTATACATTACTCACGGGTTAGGAATTTCAAGTTTAAAGAAGGATGCCAAATTATTTAGGATGTAAATTTTCACGTGCAAGGTCATTTCCTGCCTATTGTTTGTGAAAATATATGCCTGTTATCCGGTATTTGAATTGTGAAAAGGAAATCGATATTAACTCATCGGGGTGGGATATCCCATTTCCCAATGTAGTTACGTTCCCAAACTGAAGAAAACAAAGTGTTTTTAATATGACCATAAAAAAAAATTGCACATGCGGATTATCCGCCGAAATGTAAAGCCTTGATTTTAACATATCAATTAATAGAGGATGCTTTGCACTAGAGGTAAAATCTTTAAAAATCTACACGATAGATCAGGGGTAGGCAACCTTCTGCACTCCAGATATTGTGGAGTGCATCTCCCCTGACGCTTTGCTGAGTATCTCTAATTGAATAGCATCGCGTCCCCAGGATAACCCACGAAGATCCAAAGTGGAGGGAAGGGGCACCAGCGTGTTGCCACGTTGGCTCAGATTGCTCTGGGCTGGGAGACTGGCTGCATCTCCTGTTCACTGCGCTCACTAGGTCTCACTATATAGGGTGAAGATTGCGTGTCAGCAAAAATATGGTCGCCGATCACTCTACGCTGTACCAGCCGGGTTGAGGATTGAGTAAGTTACCAGTCTCTTAAAAAGTACCATAAAAGAGGAGACAACCAGCAATATTAAAAGACTAGTGAGGAGATTTCTCACAGCACGTCTGTCCGGCGTGGCAGTCAGGCCCTGCCCTCCAGGGTTAAACTCTTAGCAGTTTAACCTCTTAAGGCAAGATGGCGTCTGGGGCTTCTCATCATACCACCACTGAAACTGCTATGGTGCCACAAGTGCCCATTTAAAGGGAGCTGGTGTATTCAGTATGACTGGACTGGTGTGTTTAGAATTATGGGTGCATTTCCCTTGGTCTGTATCAGGGGTATTGGATGACACAAATGAAAGTTAAAATAGTAGCTATTTGGCATTTTGGGAAAAGCTGAACCACCAGACATAGAAATTCTGCTAATAAATAAATGATGGGGTTGGGGGTTGTAGACAAATTCAAAAAGTGTGAAAAGGTTAGAAGAAGTTTTGCATTTGAGAGAAACCAAATAATGTGACTTGTAGGGAGAGACAGAAAAAAAAATTTATATATCAAAACAGAACAATAAGCAGCCAATCAGAAACCAGTTTGAATCCAAATCATGGTCGCTAATCAGAAAATGGGCAAATAAAAAGAAACAAATGGCCACTCTCTTGTCAGCTTTAAGATCCAGACCTCCTGAGGCAGAAGATGTAACGATAGGCATGTTTCACAGGTATAGCTGACTTTACTTTGCTCACTGACATACACTTACCTCAGCTTCATCTTCACTACTTTCATCCTCTTCGTCACTAGCCTTTGCTTCCTGGACGTTGGCTTTGACGTTGTACTTTTTCTGACTCAACTGATCAATCTTTTCTCTCACGACCGCTGTATCCCCACGCTGGCTTTGTGAGTAGAGCACGCAGAGCTGCTGAGCAATCTGCAGGGCCCAGACAGAGAAATTAACCGGTAAGTGCACAGTCACAAAGAATACCAAATACGTCTTCCGAGCAGACAAATCAGGTGTGATAGTTTCCCTTTAAGAAAATTCATTTTTTCAAAGGGACAATTTCCACACAACAAACTAAAAGCTGAAGAGGCCCAAAAGTCAAAGAATCCTGTATGTATAAGTTTCATACATCTACCTGGGTGAGCGAGCTTTACGTACGCCAGTTGTATTGCAATATATCACTTCTAGTAATTCTTTATCCATTGCACATCACTAAGGAATATATTGTTTTAATAAACCCAAGACGTGTATGGGCTTCTCTGTTTGGAATGCAGAAACACACGCAACATTCTTCTGGCCTGATCGTGTTAGCCTGAATTTTATATGCTGACCTAACAGTGCTGCTGGTAGTTAACATGACAAGCTACGGACAAACACCAACAGGTGAATGGCACACTAAATAAAGATGTACAAATGCATTTCAATTTAATTATCCACTTGATGGGAAATAAATTAATTTATTCATATAAATACATATGATAATATGGCGTAATAGGTATGAAAAAAATTATCAGAATTATTTCTAAAATGGCACACTCGCACTTTCTCAAGCCTAAATATACTGACTCAAGTATAAGGGCATAGAGGAGAACTCTCTTGGATATTGAACAGAACTGCCAATCTTCCTATAGAGGTCCTGCAAATAAATGGAAACACCAGCAAGCAAAATAATAACTCAGCACAACGCGTTTCGACAAGAATCTTCTGCCTATATACTAGAGTCAATAAATTTAGGCTCAAGAAAATGAGAGAGTTTGCCATTTTAGAGATACTTCACTGAGGTTATTGTTTATACATATTACACTATGTTATCATGTGCTTTTATATTTATTTCTATAATGGGAATATATATATATATGCATTTGTGCATTCTTATTTAGTGTGCGCTAGTCACCTATAGGTGTTTGTGGTGAGATTTGAGTGATTAATATCACAAGTGGTTTTAGGCAGCACATAAATAATTATTCACTCGTGCGAAAATGATAGAAAAAGCTCTGAACTATATAATATTTGTCAACATGACAAGCTACATTTTTTTGTGCTATTTTGTTTTCATACATTGATTTCCAAGTTCTCCCTTTCAATTACCTGAATATTTCACAATTACCGCTTCCTCCCCCAACAAATGATCATATACGATATTTACCAAAGATTGGCTCCCATCTTCAACAAGTGTGTCAAACTCATCATTCATCATCCCCAAGAGTGTTTCCTCCACCTCGTATTGCTCAAGGTCAGCTTGGGGAGAAATAGAAGAGATTGAGAGATAAGTGAGAAACGAGAATCAGAAACAAAATCCAGTTAAAGTGAAACTGTCACTTTTCTAAAATTTACACCATGGAATAAAAATAAATAAAAATCACAACTTCTGCGAACAGCTTTTTTCCCATTTCTTTTAATTTCATACTAAAATATTTAGCAAATGAGATACTCCAGTTCAGACAAGGCAAACTTTGCAAATGAAGAGAAGAAATGGCATGGTTTTGTTTCTCCTTTTCGCTGTATGTTTTCTCTATTATTTACTCTATTTTTTACTCTTGTATTACATGACAGGAGACTTCATATTTTGCTTAATTTCCTTTACTGTACGCCCAGCAAAGTATGTACTCTGTAACAAGAGAACCAACCAAGAAACAGTAATCCCAACAAATAGACATGCCCACTGAAACTCCCCCTCTTTATTTCGAGTACGACGTACGAATGCACATTACCCATCAACTAGAGCGGATTGAGGATTATTTAGCGATCCGCAGTTTAGCACGTGACAAGGTGAATTGTTGCATCCTACTACAGGTGGACAATATATCGAAGGTAGAGAACATCAACCGCCTAGGTGGAGCAAGGTTCGTAACGCTATCAGAAATCTCAAAAGATATCTACCAATTTAGCTTCCAACGCAACATCTCCCTCCAAGTCGAGTACCTTCCAGGCATATTCAGTCAGTCAGCAGATTGATTTTAAAGATATTGGAGGGACTCCAGCGACTGGATGTTGGACAAGGTTTTCTGTATGATCCTTCAATCCAAAAAAAGAGGACCTTTTACAGTGGTTCTTTTTTTCCACCTCGGAACTATCGACAACTCAGTCAATTCTACAGTGGGCTACTTTCTTCAAATGTGGCAGGCTCAAGGAGCATACGCATTCCCACTGTTTACCATGATAGCGAGAGTGCTTCAAAAGATACAGAACCAGAAAATATCACTAGTGCTTATCACCCCCTTCTGGCAGAGTCAACCATGGCTCCCTGTTTTGCTGGAAATGCCCTTCATGAACTCTCTCTGGATTTTGACATCCCCAATGCTCAAGGGAAATCCACACCACCTACATCTGGTGGCTTGGATGTTTTCAGGGGATCCTGGAATGTCGAGGGACTGAGGACTCCTGGACACTGGGTAACAGATAATGTTACCTTTCTGCTTGGCATTCCTGCACCAGGTGATGCTTGGAAAGGAACCTCAATCCCTTCACAGCTCCTATACTGTCCATTTTAAATGTTCTTTCCTCTTTGTTTTCTATTAATGTAATTTGTTCTCCGATCCCGGCAGCTTATGTTCCAGTTTCTGGTATCCCGATTGGTAAGGTCCCTCTTGTTAGGAGACTCATGTGGGATATACCTTTATCACTAGAGATGTCGAGAACCGTTCGCGAACTTCCCACGAACGGTTCGCGGTGAGCTCCGGTCAGCTGACACATCCTGGCCAATCTCCAGCAGACCCTCCCTCCCAGACCCTCCCACCTCCTGGACAGCATCCATGTTGAAGGCAGCTTCAACATGGATGCTGTCCAGGAGGTGGGAGGGTCTGCTGGAGATTGGCCGGGATGTGTCAGCTGACTGGAGCTCGCCACGAACCGCGGCGAGCCGTTCGCGGGAAGTTCGCGACATCACTTTATCACATCCTCCGCAGCCTAAATGTTTTAAACTATTCGACTTTGACCTAATCCTACATATTTTTAAGAACATTTCGTTTCTTATGTCAAACCCTATAAACCTGCCTCTATGACGACTCTACTGAGCATATTGAATTTGATGGGTTTTATCCAGCACCAGCATGGATTCTTCATTTGGTGCATGGGGCAGTCTTTATTTTAGGACCCAATATTTCCAATAGACACTGTCCACGGACTGGCGCAGGGAAGACAATTTTCATACCTTTTAATTTTGTCCAATTTCTCATGCTTTTTTTGCATTATTGTAGTGTTAAAAAAAGCAAAATATGAAGCCTTCTTTCATGTAATAAGATTGTAGATTGTGCTAGCATTAGTGTATCTATAATCTTAACTTTAAAAATGACAGGAGACAAATATTTTCCCTCCTAGTTATAGTAAGTCTTTTAGGTTTTTCATATTCGGTATAAAGTTTGTTGAAAAATCATCCTATATTATTCCATAACAGTATTTTTTTATTGATGTGTTATATATGCTATATGTGAATTTATTCTTAAATCAGTTTTATGTATTGTATTTACATTGCCCTTAAATATTTTATTAGTCATTTTCAACGGATTCGGTCCTTGGTTTTTCAGTGTCATCATTTGCATCGGTGTTTATGAGTGGATGAATCTTATTCTACAAGGCTACATGTTCCAGTAGATTCTTAATTTATCTGTTTTTTTCCGGTCATTTACTTGGACTGTTACTTTTCATCGTCACGAAGAAAGCGGATGAGGTTCAATGGGCATGTCTATTGGTTGGGATTACGGTTTCATGATAGGTTTTCATGTTACTGAGTAAATACTTTGCTGTTGGGAGTACAGTAAAGGAAGTTAAGCTAAATATGAAGCCCTCCTGTCATTTTTAAAATGAAAGATACACTAAAGCTAGCATAGCCTACAATGTGCAACCATGATTGACAGGCAGTTATGATGGAGGCTCCCAATTGAAGGATAAAGTTGTGGGTTAAATTTTGTCACACATTGAGAAATAAATATTTGTTCAGTATATGGATAAGTTAAGATAATATTAACATTTCTGGGAAGTCACAGTTCCCTTTTTGTTTTTCTAAATTCTTTATTTTTGTCATGTTGCACATGAATCAAGCAAAATGGAATATACAGAAATCATCAAACAGAGGAGCGTGAGCTCCACAGACAGAGTAAATCATGATATAAGAGACTGCATGCAACATGAGCATTTTTTATTTATTTTTAACCGAAACAATAATTGAGCCTAAGTATATATCCCGTGTAACCTCATTGGCTTCACGGGTAAAGGCTATCGAGTATTGCTATGCATTATGCATATGTAACTATGTGGCTCGTTAGATAGAGTTGACAGCTGACGGGGGGTTAGGGAGTTATAGGAATCCCTTTTCAGAGTAGCAGCAGCTGTCCTGCATAGTTAGTGCACACCGTGTATCAGCTATGTTGAGCAACTGGCAAGGACAGAGCGTGTAAACCATATCTTATATAGTTAACATAGCTTATGTTGCTAGAGGTATCGCAATATAGATAAAGGAATAGTATGTGTAAAATAAATAAAAAATCAGAAGTAGAGCTGAACAGAAAATGAGGTGTCTCAAACAGTGGTGAAGAGTAACGGTAGGTATTGGTGGAAAGTCAATCCCTTAGGAGGGACAAGCGGTGTTTCGCCCCTGAGATAAGTTCCTCATGTTGGTGCGTTGGCCCATTGCGCTCGCTGTGATAGTCAGGGAGTAAACTCCGGCACGTTGGCTGGATTCAGCTGTGACATGCTTAAACCCTGTTGTGTCGGGGGTTGTCAGGAGTCCCAAGGTGGTTAACAAGGCTTTAACCTCTTGGGAGCTGTTAACTCTGTGGGCAGTCCCTCCGTAAGGGGAAAAGCGCTCCTGAGGTTCCCCATCTGTAAGGTATTTCTTTATTTCGCAGGTGTTGCAGGAAGGGTTGCATTTGTAAAATGACACAGAGCACTCTGATTGGATGGATTTCAAGCCAACCAATCAGAGTGCTGTGACAGGTAAATGTAGAGACTTACCTGTCAGAGCACTCTGATTGGATGGCTTAAACCCACCAATCAGAGTGCTTTGAGTCTAAATGCAGGGTGGGGCAAGGCTTTATAAGTCTTTCCCCGCCCTGCGGAGCTAAGTCTGCGCCGTGCCCTCGACGGGTGAAGATGGATTAATTTTTTTAGCTTCAGGTTTTTTATTTTATTAAATTAAGTTCGACGGGTATGATGTTTTTTTTATTTGGCCTTTTTGAGGGCTGAAAAATGAAGATTTTAGAAAAAAATAAGACATCAAATGCTAAGTTTTATTTTTCTTTACAGGTTAGTTATTTTATTCCCCCCTCACTATTTTTAGGTTGAGTGGGGTAGGTAGGGGATAGTTTTTATTTGGGTGGGGGGGGTGACTAGGGGGCTTGGGGACCCCTAGTCACCTTGGAAGATTTTCATTTAGGGCCCCCACTCACCGCTCAGGGACAGTAGGTCCCCCCCCCTTATTGTTATTTAGGGTCCCCACCTGCCGCACAGGGGTGGGGGCTGGGGTGGAGGACAGTAGGTCATCCCCCTTATTGTTATTTAGGGCCCCCACCCGCAGCTCAGAAGTAGGGGGCCCGGGAGGGGTGGGGGGGGGGGGAAAGGACAGTAGGTCCCAACCCCCCTATTGTTATTTAGGGCCCCCACCCACCGCGCAGGGGTGGGGACCCGGGGGGCCACATTCTCATTTAGGTCCCCCCCCTTATTGTTATTTATGGCCCCCATCCACTGCTCAGCGGTGAGGGTAGTAGGTGTCCACCCCCTTATTGTTATTTAGGCCCCCACCCACCGCGCAGGGGTGCAGGCCCGGGGGGAGGATAGTAGGTCGTCGTCCCCCCACATTGTTATTTAGGGCCCCCAACCACCGAGCAGGGGTAGGGAGCCGGGGGGGAAGAACAGAGGGTCTCCCCCCCTTATTGTTATTTAGGGCCTGCACCCGCCACGCATAGAATAAGGGTGGACATGTGGGGGCTTAGGAAGTGGCGGGGAGCACTGTTCCCTGCCGCTTCTATAGTTACATATTACAAGGAAGGAGCTGTGTGCCGGTAGCTCCCTCCTTGTAATAAACTGAACGAACACTGATATTCAGTGTTTGTTCATCTTAAATTTCTAGTCATTCATTCGTCTTTCTGTTTATAGGGACACTCCAGGCACCCAGACCACTTCTGCCCATTGGAGTGGTTTGTGTGCCAACTCCAACTACCCTTAACCCTGCAACTGTAATTACTGCAGTTTATAAAAACGGCAATAATTACCTTGCAGGGTTAACTCCTCCTCTAGTGGCTGTCTGCTAGACAGCCACTAGAGGGCACTTCCGGGATTATAGCACAGATTTTGTGCTATAGCGTCGCTGGACGTCCTCACGCTATGTGAAGACCTCCAGCATCACTAAAATCCCCATAAGAAAAGCATTTTCCCCGGGTGACGGGGAGGAGCGTGGGCAGACCAAGAAGCAGCGCCAAGGGACATCGTCACTGCCTCTGGTAAGTCACTGAAGGGTTTTGACCCCTTCAGCAACCGGGGATGGGAGGTGGGAGGGAAAGGGGGACCTGCAGTGCCAGGAAAACAGATTGTTTTCCTGGCACTGGAGAGTCCCTTTAATTGGGCATGTGCAGCAATTTCACAGTGCTATCTACTGTGGGCAGATGACGTGTCCCACAGGGACTTATGAAAATAGGTAATGTGGGGGGCTTAGGGGCATTTGAGGGTGACTAAGGGGTCAGTGAGATGTAGTGGAGTCGGGAGAAAGAAAAAAAAAAAAAAAAAAGATATATATACATAAAAAATGTTTTCAGGGTGGAGCTAGCAGGGCAACGGAGCGGTCTAACTTCTCTGAGCTCTGGCTCTAACTTGCTTGGCGGATAGACCATGGGCCGCAAAACAAAAAGAGCAAAAGCTGACAAAAGCTCCCATGGCAGATATAGATATAGGAGACATGTTGCAGAACACGCAGAAGGCCACGTGGTCTAAAATGGCGCTGGCAGACTACCTCTCATCATACACCTTCGGAGGAGTTTGCCTCGGACCTCTTGGAGGGAAAATCCTTCTGGCTCATGCCGGACCGCAAAATTGAACCACAGAAAGCCAGGGACCAGGTCACTGAGGACCAACTTAAAAAGATGCTTGCAGAGCTCCACAAAGACCTGGCAGCAGATATGGCCTATTACAAAGAAGCCATTGAAGGGGCTGCATCAAAGAGTCGGTTGAAATCGCTGACCTACCCCACTACTTCTTTGGAGTCTTGCTTCCACAAAAGCAGGAGAAATCTTTGAGGCTGGGTGGTATGTTCTGGCTACCATAGCCAGCTAGGGCACTGGCAACTGCAGAGCTCATACTTAGATTCTAAGCTCTCTTGGATAAAGCCTCACTCCTGGCCGCTCTGAGAGGGAAAACTCCCCTGCTCATTGAGGGCTCCTTGCTAACAGTATGCCCAGACCTCACAAAGAGCAGCCTAATCTGGCGTAAAATCACTGCAACCTCTCCTGCAACACCTTCGTGCCAGAGATTCCCTACAGATGAGGGACACCACGAGCTATATTGTTTACACACAATGGGACTTTCTGCAGAGCACAGGGGTCTCAGGAGCTGGAATCACACCTAAAAACCGCAGGCATACTGCATGCCTCACCGACAACTGGAACAGACCTGTCCAGGCTGTAACCGGCCACCATTCGGGAATTTACTCCAAGAGCAATCCAGAGAGCCTCACCTGTCAGACCACCCACCTGAGGAAACAGAGGCTGGCCTACTCAAGGGGACTTTCCATTCCACCACTATCACTCAACATGTCTATTACCGTTACAGATTGCTTTGTTTTTTTGTTCTTTTTATTTTATTTCCTCGTTTTTTTGTTTTACTTTCCTTGCAAAGTTTATTAGACTAATATTCAGCTATTCCACAAGCAGCTCACAACAAGCAGAAGCTTTAACACTAAGCGACAAATGCTAAACGCATCTTAATGCAGAGTAGCCAAACTAGATTCTTTCACTACACCCACATCCCCTGCCAGCTAATGGTTGGCCCCCACTAAAATACTCACATAGTCTCTGGGCAAGGGGTATAAACCTTTGTGATCATAACCTAAACTGGCAACTAACACTCTTACTACATCCACACAGGGTTCACTGGCTGTTTCCTGATTATATCTCCTATAATGTAATTAAATAATATAAAATGTGCAGTGTTACTGGATGCCCACAATTGTCTCTGAATGTTGATAAATATGCTAGCAACAGCTGTTGTGACATTGATTGCATCATGTATTCTCCATGCATGACAAAATAAAGATTTTTTTTTTATGTTTTCGTCCTCCTAATCTTTGCTTAGTCCATAACTCATGCACTTGGTTGTGTGTGGATGTTTATCAAAAAAAGATTGTGTTTTCTTTAACATACGTGTCTTATCTCACATACTGAATTATAGTAAGTATGATGACAGATTTCGAAGCCACACATCAACATCTGATTTAGAACATACTAACATAAGAGATGCACAGCGGCATTCGTGATAAGATGAGATGTAACCCACTCAATAATGATAAACAAGAGAAAAATGGGTTACGATTAGATTAAATATAAAAATATAAGTATTGGGACATTCTAAAGTCTTATGTGCCTGCAGTAGGGTATCTGTTAAAGGGACACTATAGTCACCACTTCAACTACAGCTTAAGGTAGTTGTTCTAGGGGGGGTGTATAGTCAGTCTCTGCCAGCTTTTTTTTTTTTTCTTTCTATTTATAGGTGGCTCTTTAATTCAAGACTGCAGATATTGGCAGCATGTTATAACAAGTTTTAGGTTTTATTACTACCATTGATGCAATGCCAACAAATTGTGCAGAGCTACATACATTTAGCAAATTGAATAATAAAACTTAGCTCTGCCGGCTTTTTAATGTAAATACTGCCTTTTCAGAAGAAAGGCAGAGTTTACATTACTACCTAGGGACACCTCCAGTGGCAGTCACTCAGACGGCCACTAGATGTGCTTCCTGGATCAGTGCTGTACACGTTCATGCTCTGCCTCTTGCATTATTTTTTTTTTTTTTAATGGTTTTTTGTCCCCCCTGCCTGCTTGTTGTCTGGCCAGGGAGGGGGGACAAAAAAAAAAACATTTAAAAAAAATAATGCAAATATTAAAATAATAATAATATAATAATAAAATAATAATTATTTTAATATTATATTATTTTAATATTTGCATTATTTATTTATTTTAATGGGTTTTTGTCCCCCCTGCCTGCTTGTTGCCTGGCCAGGGAGGGGGGACAAAAAACATTTAAAAAAAATAATGCAAATATTAAAATAATAATAATATAATAATAAAATAATATTATTATTTTAATATTATTTTATTATTATATTATTATTTTAATATTTGCATTATTTTTTTTTTTAAATGGTTTTTTGTACCCCCTCCCTGACCAGGCAGCAAGCAGGGAGGGGGGGACAATAATGCAAATATTAAAATAATAATATTATTAAAATATTATAATATTAAAATAATATAATAATATAATATTAAAATAATATAATAAAATTAAAAAATTAAGATAGCACGAACTGCGACGAAAACTCACTATAACTTCGACTCCTACACCACAAGTTGGACAACGTTTCCCCCGACCTCTTAGAAGGCGGCATCACGCAGAAGCCTGCGAGATACAATCGCCTCTGCACTTGCCACAAAGGCGACTATACCGTTACTCTACCTACCACCTAAGGACAGGCGTGCCGCTGGCACGAGCACACAAACAAGCATTGATACATGACGCGACCCGAAACCTCTTGACACGGGCACTAACTCTAGGTATGTGGGGACCTGTAGGTCCATACCCTCATATATCGCACCAAGTGAAAATACTACCTAATGAATATGTCTCATGGGACCTGCGAGTCCAACAAACCACTGTTTCCAACGTTACAATGTGACCTGCGCGTCACCAATTTTTGTTTGCATGTTCATCATCTTCTTCTCCTCGAATATTTGAACGAGGCAACCTTTATATCAAATAAAAATATATTTACAAAAAAAAAATTAAGATAAAAATGCCCTCCCCTCATCCAGTTTACACACACTGCACAAACACACACTGCATTCATTCTATACACACACACAAACACACACTCTGCATTCATTCTATACACACACACAAACACACACTCTGCATTCATTCTATACACACACACACTGCATTCATTCTATACACACACAAACACACACTCTGCATTCATTCTATACACACACACAACACACACTCTGCATTCATTCTATACACACACAAACACACACTCTGCATTCATTCTATACACACACACAACACACACTCTGCATTCATTCTATACACACACAAACACACACTCTGCATTCATTCTATACACACACAAACACACACTCTGCATTCATTCTATACACACACTGTAAATATTCAATTAATGTAATTTTATTGGGCTCTAATTTAATTTAGAAATTTACCAGTAGCTGCCGCATTTCCCACCCTAGGCTTATACTCGAGTCAATAAGTTTTCCCATTTTTTTGTGGTAAAATTAGGGGCCTCGGCTTATATTCGGGTCGGCTTATACTCGAGTATATACGGTATTTGAAACTATCCAAATGTATTGAAGTCAGTGCATGATTCTACAGTTCACGGATCATTTGAATATTTTTTAACCTGAGAAGCCAACTCCAGACTGCCTTCCCTTCGGAAACTATAATAACTTTTAATGTACATGTTAATCACCATAGTCACTTACAATTAGTCTGGAAATACTGATGCACTGCTCCCACCATCCACTCTGCCTTTTCCTGGCTGTGGGCACCTCCAAATCCATTTTCCACAGCGATCTGTAAACAGGAGAATTGGGATTATGTGTCAGTGTGCACAAAGTTCAGGCCACCAAATTCTCACATGTCCATGACACTTCTACATGACCATTAATGAATGTGTCCCCCTGTAGCCCTGTCACCAACACCATTTTCAGACCCTCGACCAGTCCAACTTATCTTTTCCAAAGCTGTGCTAGTCCCGCCATGCCATACCCAAGGTTTCCAATGGACCTGCATTGACTCTTACAATTGCACAAGAGTGGGCACATAGTGTCAGTGATAGCCCGTGCTGCTAGTAGAAGGTGATTAGAGCAAATTACAAAGTTTACAATGGCCACGGAGCTTGATTAAAGTACCACCCTTTGTCAACTTGAAGGTTATACATAAGGAAACATAGTTCTTATTTCTTGTGACAGCCACTAGAGGTGTTTTTAACACCGGTACATAAACACTGGAGAATGACAATGCGTTCAGTTAAAGGGTTAAAGCAGGGATATGGCATACCGCCAACTGCATTGAAATGAAGTGGTCTGTGTGCCTATAGCGTCCATTAAATTATGTCTTTGAAGACTCATATATGCAGTGTGCACACTTCACACACAGTACTAGGATGTCTGTTTGCTTCCTCTCAAGGAAAGAGACTTAGCAGTGAGTCTCGCATACATAGGATTGACAAGCATTCCTGCCAAACGGATGCTATGCGCAAAGCAACCCAAAAATTATTGCATAGGGGCAGCAAAGGCATGAAGCAAGCTTGCTCTGTACTTTTTTTTTTAGTGTTCTTTGATGTACAATCACTACATATCAATATTTATATAGCTCCAACATATTCCGCGGCGCTTTACAATTATAGACAGGAGATATTTACAGGTAAAAGAGGAGGCCCTGCTCATTTTATGAGGATATGCGGTAGGGAGATTTGAATTGTCACTGCACAGAGCTTCCATATGCATAGTAGGCTGCGACTGGCACCCAACACACACCAGGTAAGTTGTTAAACTTACAACTTGGCCTATTAGGGCTATTTATGGCACTATAACCACTACAGCATGCTGCGGTAGTTATAGTGCCTGGATTATTCCTTTCATTCCCAAGCAGTAAAATTAAAAAAAATGGTAAAGAATAAATTGGGAAGTTATAAAATTGCTGCTTTCACTAGTGGAGATTTTATTTAGACAATACTTTATATTAGCAAACACCATGTAATACAGTTACCCAGCAACTTATAAACACCTCAATAATTGAATTCAGCATCTAAATGTCCAATAACACAGGGTGTGCTTTATGAAACCATGCAGGCTACATACAGCACCATATATGGTGCAGAGTCACACAGCTGCCAAGCACTGACAACTTAAAATGTCACTCACACCCTGCAGGAAGAGGGCACATTAATCACCTGCAGAACCGGCCAGCTCCCCAACACGGCCCGGACTGCTTCACCGAACAGACCACGTGAACCTGCACTGCACGCCGCCATGACACACTAAACACCCACGTGACTACAAGGCTGGACTAGAAGGAGAAGAGTGCCGAACACATCGATCTGGAGAGTGCCGAACACATCGATCTGGAGCCCTGCTGGGAGAGCAATAGCTTTCATTTTAATTTCATGGTTTTACATCTGTATCGATGATTAGAAGGAAAAATACAAGTGTCTCTGAACCTCCTAGAATTAAAAGGAAATATTAAAAAGAGAGGATGTGTTTTAACTTTACTTTAAAGTTATGGAAAAGCTTTCTGTCAATTAAACTGAACATGAATTTAATATAAGACCTGGACTTTTAGTCAGTTCAAGAAAGGAATAGAGGATTGACAAGGGAAATTGTATACTCTGCCAGGCATAGGTAACCTTCAGCACTGAAGATGTTTTGGACTAAACCTCCCATGATGCTTTGCCAGCATTATGGGTGTAAGAGTATTATGGGGGATGTAGTCAATAACATCTGGAGTGCCAAAGGCACTGGCGTACATACTGCAGTCGCAGCTGCGACCGGGCCCGTCACTCCAGGGGGCCCGGCTGCCCTGCAGACCCCTGCGACAGGGTGCCCACCATCATCATTTGCGGCCCCGGCACATGTTAAGGTGCCCATCGGGTGGCCCATGCTGTCAGGGCCACCCAATGGAGATGGATTGTCAGGGGGCCTGGTCAGCGCTGGGCGCTTTAACAGCGCGACCGGGCCCCCTGTGATGAGATCATCACTGCTGGGAGGAAGTGACTGCACGTCACTCCTCCCAGCTAACACACAGAGCCCGCGCGGACGGAAGAACAGGGAGTCAGAATGGGAACTCTGACTCCCAGCAACCTGAGCCACAACTGGATCCCAGGGAAAGTCACCCTCCTGCAACTAAAAGGTAGGAAACAGGAGGGTGACTAAAATATTTTGTGTGTTTGTTTGTGTGTATGTGTCTTTGTATGTATGTCTTGTGTGTGTGTCTGTCTGTATGTCTTGTGTGTGTCTATGTATGTATGTCTTGTGTGTGTGTCTATCTGTATATATGTGTGTATGTATGTCTTTGTATGTATGTGTGTCTTGTGTCTATCTGTATGTGTGTATGTGTCTATGTATGTCTTATTGTGTGTCTTTTAATGTGTACCTGTCTGTATGTATGTGTACCTGTCTGTTTTTATGTATGTGTGTGTGTGTGTGTGTGTGTCTGTATGTATGTGTGTGTGTCTGTATGTGTGCCTGTCTGTTTTTCTGTATGTATGTATGCCTGTCTGTGTGCCTGTCTGTTTGTATGTATGTGTCTTTTTGTGTGTGTGTGTGTGTGTATGTATGTGTGTCTGTCTGTTATAGTGGGCTATAGTAAGTGGGCTACCTAGCTAAGCCTTCATACTGGGCATTGCTATAAGGAAGGTTAAAATAGAAAATAGGGATTAAAAAAAGGTGGGGAGTGACAATGGCAAATATCTGCTTACTCCCCAAACCTAACAAGGATCTCACGGAACCCGAGCACTACAGACCCATCTCTCTACTCAATGTAGACCTCAAAATCATGAGCAAGATAATGGCCAATAGAATTAACCCGTACCTAGACAGACTAATACACCCAGACCAAGTGGGCTTCATCCCCAATAGACAAGCATTAGACAATACACGCAGAAACATAGACCTTATATGGATAACTCAACACCGCAAAATCCCTACAACAGTGATCTCACTAGACGCCGAAAAGGCGTTCGACCGCCTACTATGGCCCTTCCTTTACCGCACACTAGAACATATGAACTTCCCGAGCTCATTTCTTGCGTTCTTGCAGGCAACATAACACTCCCCTCAAGGAGCCCTCCTGCTTCCCAACATCACACCGCCCAGATTCCCAATATCAAACGGCACATGACAAGGGTGTCCACTATCGCCCCTCATGTTTGCCATATCGTTAGAACCCCTACTCCACGCAATTCGTAGCAATCCTCATATAGAAGGAGTAACTATCAGGGGCGAACAATACAAGGTGTCTGCCTACGCGGACTACATTCTCTTAACACTAATCTACCCGGACCAATCCATAGATTCCCTATTAAAAACCATACACGAATACGCAATGGTCGCAGGATACAAGTTGAACCTAGCAAAATCAGAAATCCTACCCATCCAACTCTCCGAATCACAACTAAGCAACTTAAAAAATAAATACCCATTCCCAATATGCCCCTCAGACATAACATACTTGGGAATTCAGTTACCAGCCGACTTAACCACTATATACATGAAAAACTACACACCGTTACTACGCATCGCACACACCGACCTGCAAAGATGGGCGACGCTAGGAGTTTCCTGGCTAGGCCGGGTGGCGTCTGTAAAACTGAATCTACTTCCCCGACTGCTATACCTCTTTCAGACGCTGCCCATACCTCCCCACAAAGCAGATCTCAAAACCCTACAAACGGCGGTCGACAAGTTTATCTGGAATGGACATAAACCCCGAGTTAGTAGGAACAAACTCTACGTTCCTAAAAAACACGGAGGCCTTGGGTTACCGAACCTCTCACACTACTAGCAGCGCAACTAGCCCAGATTCAACATTGGCACGCCCCACCACAAACCAAATGATGGGTAGACATTGAACACACAATCTTTGGCAAAGATCACCCATCCCTGTATATGTGGGTTCCTAAACCACATGGATCCCTACCCCCCCCAACTCCCCAGCCATCACTCATTCTTTGGACCTATGGGACAGACTACAGGATAAATACGACCTATCCTCATTTCTCTCCCCAATGACCCCGATATGGAGAAACAAACTTTTCCCACTAGGGCTCACTCCAGTCAACTTTGCCCAGGTCGACCAAAGGGACATTGTAAGACTTAGCCACTTATACCAAAATAATAAGGTAATACAATATTCGGAAATTAAAGACGCTGACACTCTGACGACGTTTGACCATTTCCGATACATTCGGTTACGCAGCTTCGCCTCAACCCCGATTATCCAACAAGCAGGCACGGCCACACTCTCCAGATTCGAGAAAGACTGCACACACCAACCACTTAGACGAGGCCAAATCTCGGACCTCTACACGACTCTGGCAACTCACCCCACCCAAGTAACACTGCCTTACATAGCGGCCTGGGAAAAAGATCTAGGACCCCCGGAGGACAACACAGACTGGGCAGATAAATGGGAGGCAACGGCCTCGATCTCAATCTGTGTAACACACGCCGAACAAGCATATAAGATGCTTTTTCGCTGGTACCTCACACCCCAATGCCTAGCAATCATCCACAAAACACCCAACACCTGCAGGAAACTCTGCGGAGAACAGGGGACATTCCTCCACTGTTGGTGGACTTGCCCCAAAATCAAACCCTTATGGCTCAGCGTCACTACACTACTGACAAAAATCCTACATAAGCCATACCCTCTAGATCCATGGGCCCTACTACTCTCAAAACCTCTAGAAAACCTAACCAGAGCAGAAAACAAACTCAGCGCTCGCATCGCCCTAGCAACGAGGCGAGCGATAGCGGAACTATGGTCAACAACCCATATACCATCACAATTGCTTATCACCAAAAAAATACAGGACCACGTACAAATGGATAAGCTCACGTCCCAGCTCCATGATACGCCCAAACATTTCCATAAGGTCTGGGACCCATGGCTAGAAGGAGATACCTCCCTACCCTGGTAAATACAACTCTAACTCATACAGACGCAAACACTCCACAGTCGTAGACACTCTCAATTAACTATAAAGAACCAACTCCCTAAGATAACCCTCTTAAGCCCAATCAACCCTTAAACCCAATGGACCCACCGGGCTGGGACGCCGTGCCGCGACACCCCCAAATGCCCACCCACGGACCACCCACCCCAGGGACAGTTTCCCCTCGACCCTCCCCTTATCCCCAGCACCACTATCTTGCCCCTGCACAGGACCAACAGGCCTCAGAACTTTCTCTCCTGAGACACACACCCCGAAACATACGAAACCCTGCAACGACGGAAGACCAAACACCGGGTCACTGTTTAACTCCGAGACAAACTTATACTGAAGGCAAACAGCATCATGGAACCGACAAACAACAGTATATCCACAAAGGTGTATTGCAAATGGGGGAAGGGGGCAGAGCGGAGAGAAAAGAAAACAGGGAAGAGAACCTAGACCGCAACATCGATACCCATAGGGTACCACAGATGCCCCCTAAGGCCCATACCCGGGTAGACCCAAGCAAAGACGCACACCCCTCCCCACATACCAGAGTTACGCAACAGAGAGGAGTGACAGAGACCATTATATATTGGTGTTTTTTTTTTGTTTTTTTTCCTTCTCTTCCTCATACCATTGAAAAACATGTACAATTCCAGCCTATGTCATCCCTGCATATGTAACGGGTAATTGTGTGATTGTAAAAACAAGGAACAAGAAATGAAAGGGAAAATTGGGACTGTACAACTGTGCATTACCGTTCTCTACCCCCGCCACAATTTCTTTTCTGTAACCCATACCCTGTATACCGAACTGTATAAAACAAAATGAACCACAAATAAAGAATTTAAAAAAAAAAAAAGGTGGGAAGGGGAATTGAGGAGGGAGAAGAGATGACGCACAGATGAGAAATCATATTATGCGCAAACAGAGAAGTCGTCTGAATATCACCGAAAGAGGAGACCTTCTTTTGTTCCTTACGAAAATCGAACCAGATATCAAATATTTAGTCTTGCAGCATCAGCCTCAAGGATCTCATTAATCACTAGTAAAGGTAATTTCAATTTACGTTATTGTTTTCCAATTAAACTTTATAAAGTTAAAAACATTATAAACATGCATTAAGTAGGAATAAAAAGATAAATGTACGTGCATTTAATTTTTTTAAAACACCCTCCTTTCTAAAAAATATTCAGCACTTGCGCGAAAACTGGTGGGCGGTAAGGAAATTTTTCCATCAAGAAAGATGCATTAGTGGGCGGTAGGTAGAAAAAGGCTGACTGCCACTGATCTAACCGGTAAAATTTTCAATTCTTCTATTTCCATCCATCTGGGTTTATCAACATGGTTGTTAAAGCTCACAACCACTGCAGCGTTAGTGTCGAAATAATATTTGCGGATATCGGGGACACCGATACCGCCGTTTGATTAATGGTGCTGCAGGG